TTAAACGTTTGCAGATCTTTCTGGGAAGCCCCGTCTAATGAATTTGTCTAATCAACTAATCCAATATTTACGCATTTGATTATATGCCGTCTGCTGAAGATTCAGAGCATGCTGATTTGTTTTGGAGCACTTTAGGGATTTTCAGTTTCTTCAAAACATCTAGGCAATATTATTTCAAACGATAAGACAGACAATTTGATGGGACCTCAGTGTATTTAAACTTCCAGTGGTTAGTGAGATTATAGCGGAGAAGCATGAATCTATGATTCACTCTCAGGAGAGACAACTGGAGTGATGAGTGGAACATTTCGAGGAACACTTCTACTGGTCTCCAGCTGCTATTCCGTTGTCTACTTTCCAGTATACTCCTGAATGAAACATTGAGTTAGGTCTTCCAAACCAAATCTCGCTTAAGTTGAGAAGGCTACAAGTAATATGAAACAAAAGCGAACATCAAGACCATGCAGACTTGTACAGGAAGTACTTAAGGATAGTGGTCGCAGATTGTTGATCAGGTTAACTGAAACGTTCACTAATCTATGAGATCTCCTCTGAATGGTTCCAATCACTGGTTATCCGAGTCTTTAGGAAAGGGGAGAAATCTTCTTGTTATAACCATAGAAGAATCAGCCTGACTAAGATAGCATTTAAGATTCTATGTTCGATAATTATCAGACGTTCAATCAGCACTTGGGGACAGCAAACCGGAGGAAAACAGGCAGCTTTCAGACCTGGTCATGGGTATACTAACCAGATACTCACCTTTCGCCAGGTCCTGGAACACAGATACACTTGTACATCCCTGACACTAGCGATATTTCTTGACCTAAAGAAGACATTCAACTCTATCAATCGAGAGGTCTTATGGTAGGTAGTAAGTGCATCACTCTGTTGAAGACTTTGTCTTTAAATAACAGTGGGCGTGATAAAGCGTATGGTGAGTTGCCATATGAGTAATGTACGTTGAGTTGTTTTCGTTAAGAATGCTCACTCTTCCCATTCTTATTCAATTTTGTCATAGACCTACTTATGGAATTCTCCTTCGCATCGTCTGACTTTTCAGAGATCGATCTAATCACAGAAAAATCTTTGATAGATCTAGAGTATGCGAATGAAATAGTCCTGTTAGACGAAAACGACACGCTGGCAAGATACAGTGTTCTCGATGCACTGAGTGGTAATTTGAGAATGATTGGGATGCTTCTCTCTCCACTCACACATAAACTGGGACCCCAGGGTCAATTTTCGTTAGTACCTTGTCTAGCAATAGGGAGTGAAACGAGTGATTGTGTTGACTAATTGATCTACCTGGGAGGTTGCATCAGCCCCGGTGGGTGGGTCAGTGATAGGTGAAATCTCTGCATGAGTAAGAAAGACTCGATTGGCTTTCGCCAATTTACACCATTTAAGGCGTACTGGGTTGTAATACGTTCTCTGCTACCGTACGGCTGTGAAGCATGAGCGTTACAGGTATAGGAGATGAGAAGTCCTCAGGTGTTCAGCCATGATCGTCTGTGACTGAGGTGGCTGGGACATGTGTTACGCTAGCCTAGTTACCATCCTCCTCGTCACGTAATGTTTACTGATGTAGGTTCAGGTTTTAAAAGGTTACACATTCCGGTCGACATCCACATGGTAACAGAAAGCAGGAGTTGGTGAATCTGGGTCACATAACTCAGAATCGACCTCAGTAGCGCAAATGTATCCACACATCTGTATGCAAATATTCATGATGAGTTCAGTTTTTCCTATTCCCGTTGTCATCTTATCACGACTTTCTACCACTTTTACTGCTTTTTTCTCTATTTCTTTATTTTTTATCTTTATGTTTTACCGCCTGATGTGGTGATATAAGGTGTGGCTAATTGGACAGTTATGCAGTAATGCTTAGTCCTATGTCAATTTCTTCCACCTTTCTAATTTTTAGTACGCATTCAGCTGTAAAGTTAATGGTCTTCATTCATTCAGCACATCATTTTAAATGATATCAACAAATCCTTCCACAGAAGATCCATCAGTCTACATGAAGTTATGCAGAGAAATTTGGGTGTTTCACTCTCATCAGAAATCTGAGTGATGCGCTTTGTCACCTTAACCTATACACGCTAAAATAAACGGATAACCTAATTTTCAACATCAAAAGCTTTTCATGAATCCTTCTTCTGTCTGTCAATCATCGTAGGGATCATCTTAGTAGCCATGACAGGAATTCGTAGAAGACGACAGTATTTTAGGGACATAGCCTTAGGATGTTTGTAAATACAAATATTTTCAGTTTTCTTGAATAAGATGGGTGTTTATTGACTTCGCTTATAGTCGAAAGTAGGTTGGCTCTACGAATGCCCATCTACGCGGGTAACTCCATTCTCGAAATTAAGTATATTCTTAAAAACGAGGTAGAAAAATAAAGTTATGACAAGGTGCGATCTCATGGAAACCGATTCTTAAGAGAATAAAATATGTACAACAAGTTAGCGTATATTTAAATAGCAAATGGTGATAAATCAGATCACGTTGTTCTTACGTGATAATAATAATAATAATGTGCATTTTGAAGTAAGTGGAGACTTTAACTTTAAGGTGGTATTCATCACGGACTGACTGACATTAGTTGGAGAACCAGTGAAAACTTGGGAGAACTGGACACCTATTCCGTCTTGTTAGATGACTCTTCAGCAGTACGTGCCCACGACACTGTTACGCTGTCAAACCCACGACCTTCAGGTTTCACAACGAATGCCTTAACCATTCAGCCGCTGGATAGGAGTTCAATGGTCTACAGTTTCCCACTTCGGCCAATTCGCGACGAACATCACCTTAAAAACATATCCCCATTAACATGAACACACATTACTGACATACTTCGAGATGGATATCCAGAAGTTCTAATGAGAAGCCGTGTATGATCGGTGAAGTTAACCAGTAGGAAGTGAAGAGGATTCAAGCTGAAGGACTTGGTGGACAGTCATGCTATATAGCGAGCTGACAGAAGCAGGAAACTGTAGATCATAGAATTCCGGCTCAGTGGCTGAGTGGTTAACGCATTCGCCGTGAAATCTGAAGGTAGTGAGTTCCATCCACAGCTGGGTTGAGAATGCTCACTGGTGAGGAGTTGCATAATAGGACAAAACAGCTACCCATTGTTCCCACGTTTCCAATGGATGTCAAACAGTCCGTGATGAATAATCTTCTGGAATAAATAAAACCCTCACTAACCTCAAAATGCACATTATTATTATTATTATTGTCATTATCAGTATTTTGCTGTAAGAACAATGTGATCTGATTTATCACCATTTACTACCTAAAGATGCGATAACTTGTTGTACAGGTTTCATTATCTGAAGAAGCGATCCCCACGAGATCGCTCAATGTCATGGCTTTATTTTTCTACCTCATCTTTACGAATAGATTTCAGTGACAATCCAGTCATCCAATACTCAACTTATTCAACTTTGTCAGGTCAAATTTTGACTCTCAAGTCTATGGAGTTTACCTTTCAGGATGTTTCAGATCGGTCAACTGAAGTGGTCATATAAAACTTTTGTCATTTACGGTATAAGCAGATTGTCAGCTGTGGCATATGCTTTCAGTATTACCATGAGGCAATGAGTGTGGAGAAAATCTGTAGAAAATTTAGTCATTAATGCTCCGCAGATCCGGATTTTCAACATTAATATCAAGTCAGTGGTTCTATGTGATGGTTCAGAAACTTGGCAGCGCGTTACGGAAAGCATTTTCAACCAACTGCAGGCATAAATCATGAAAAGATGCCGCCGCCTACGCTCACTCGACACTGAAACTGAAGATCAGATGGGGAGAATAATAAGACTAAGCAAGAAGGAACTTACTGTGGCTGGCAACCAACCAACCAACCAAGAAGCTATGGCCCAGTAAATTTGGAGAAGGAGAAGTTGAGATGGATTGGATTGGATTTACACTTAGTAGACCATTTGGAGACATCACACACCAGTCCAGATCAGACCAGACCTGGCTGTCGAGTGGAAGCCGAACGGGAAACGATGAGTTGGGCGTGGTAGTCGAGGATGACGTGGAGGAGATTGTGTGAGGAATAAATGAAAGCTTGTGAGGAGTTTTGGATCCAGGTTGAGAATACTGCAGAGAAGAGAGTGAAATGACGACGTGTAACTGAATCCCTATGTCCCACTAGGAGCCGAAGGGACAAATAATAATAAATGATCTTCAGACAATGAGTGTATCTGGTAACATTTACAAAATGAACAATTGCAAGACTAATCCTTTAAGTTTGACTTCAATGAGTTGGAGTGTTGGAAACGTTTTCCACGTCTCACAGATTCGAATCAACGATTCAAGTACTGCATAACACTGTCAATCAGCTTTTCACAATGAAAAATGCTTTGCGCATCTGAAGAAGATTGAGAAGCCAAGCGTGAGTGAGTTTATCCAAACAATAGGCTAATTAATTCGTGAACATTTGGATTGTAATTTTAAATGCACCAGGACACCACACCACACGTAGTTGATGCGAAATCAACACTGTATTCAACAATTAAGTGAAGGGCAATTAACGACAATAATCTGTTTATTACGCTGATGTATTGACGACGTCATACACTCGGTCAGACTTAACACTGATCATGGGTGAACACAATATGACCTGAGCTTTAGTTTTTCAGTGAGAACTGTCGAAATGGAAGAGTATTTGCTAAATACTGTCATTTCTAGGATACCACTCACACCATGAGGATTTGAGAAGGGTGACAAGCGAAACGCTGAACATTATGATAGATTTGCCTTGCATTATTAGGTTGATTCATACTAGAAATTGATTTTATGTATTAAGTTCCACTTTAGTTGTGACAGCCTGAACAATGGAAATCTGCTGACACTGAAATCAAACAACAAAATCAATTTTGTTATCGAGCTTATAAACATTTCCTCCTGTGCATATCTCAGCTCAGAGAAAAACGCGTGTTGTGACAGTCACAGATTTACAATACCTCTAAATGTACACATCATTATGAATGTGTCCTCCAAAGCAGAATGGTACAACAGAAGAGAGGAGTAGTAGTACTGTGAGTAGTAGTAGTAGTGTGAGTAGTAGTAGTAGTGTGAGTAGTAGTAGTAGTAGTAGTAGTAGTGTGAGTAGTAGTAGTAGTAGTGTGAGTAGTAGTAGTAGTGTGGGTAGTAGTAGTAGTAGTAGTAGTAGTGTGAGTAGTAGTAGTAGTAGTAGTAGTGTGAGTAGTAGTAGTAGTAGTAGTAGTAGTAGTAGTGTGGGTAGTAGTAGTAGTAGTGTGAGTAGTAGCAGCAGTAGTAGTAGTAGTGTGAGTAGTGGTAGTAGCAGTGTGAGTAGTAGTAGTAGTAGTGTGAGTAGTAGTAGTGTGAGTAGCAGTAGTAGTAGTAGTAGTAGTAGTAGTAGTAGTAGTAGCAGTAGTAGTAGTAGTGTGAATAGTAGTAGTAGTAGTAGCAGTGTGAGAAGTAGTAGTAGTGTGAGTAGTAGTAGTAGTAGTAGTAGTAGTAGTAGTAGTAGTAGTAGCAGTAGTAGTAGTAGTGTGAGTACTAGTAGTAGTGCGAGTAGTAGTAGTAGTAGTAGTGTGGGTAGTAGTATTAGTAGTGTGAGTAGTAGTAGTAGTAGCAGTAGTGTGAGTAGTAGTAGTAGTAACAGTAGTAGTAGTAGTAGTGTGGGTAGTAGTAGTAGTAGTAGTGTGAGTAGTAGTAGTAGTAGTAGTAGTAGTAGTAGTGTGAGTAGTGGTAGTAGCAGTGTGAGTAGTAGTAGTAGTGTGAGTAGTAGTAGTAGTAGTAGTAGTAGAAGTGTGAGTAGCAGTAGTAGTAGTAGTGTGAGTAGTAGTAGTAGTGTGAGTAGTAGTAGTAGTGTGGGTAATAGTAGTAAAAGTAGTAGTAGTAGTGTGAGTAGTAGTAGTAGTAGCAGTGTGGGTAGTAGTAGTAGTAGTAGTAGTAGTAGTAGTAGTGTGAGTAGTAGTAGTAGTAGTAGTAGTAGTGTGAGTAGTAGTAGTAGTAGTAGTAGTAGTAGTGTGAGTAGTAGTAGTAGTAGTAGTAGTGTGGGTAATAGTAGTAGTAGTAGTAGTAGAAGTAGTAGTGTGGGAAGTAGTAGTAGTAGTAGTGTGGGTAGTAGTATTAGTAGTGTGAGTAGTAGTAGTAGTAGTGTGGGTAGTAGTAGCAGTAGTAGAAGTAGTGTGAGTAGTAGTAGTGGTGTGGGTAGTAGTAGTAGTAGTAGTGGCAGTAGCAGTAGTAGTAGTGTGAGTAGTATTAGTAGTAGTAGTAGTGTGAGTAGTAGTAGTAGTAGTAGTGTGAGTAGTAGTAGTAGTAGTAGTAGTAGCAGTAGCAGTAGTAGTAGTAGTAGTAGTGTGAGTAGTAGTAGTAGTAGTAGTAGTAGTGTGAGTAGTAGTAGTAGTAGTAGTAGTAGTGTGGGTAATAGTAGTAGTAGTAGTAGTAGTAGTAGTAGTAGTGTGGGTAGTAGTAGTAGTAGTAGTGTTAGTAGTAGTAGTAGTGTGAGTAGTAGTAGTAGTAGTGTGGGTAGTAGTAGCAGTAGTAGTAGTAGTGTGAGTAGTAGTAGTAGTGTGGGTAGTAGTAGTAGTATTAGTAGTAGTAGTAGTAGTGTGAGTAGTAGTAGTAGTAGTAGTAGTAGTAGTAGTAGTAGTAGTAGTAGCAGTGGCATTAGCAGTAGCAGTAGCAGTAGCAGTAGTAGTAGTAGTAGTAGTAGTAGTAGTAGTAGTGTGAGTAATAGTAGTAGTGTGAGTAGTAGTAGTAGTAGCAGTAGTAGTAGTAGTAGTAGTACTAGTAGTAGTAGTAGCAGTAGCAGTAGCAGTAGCAAGAGTAGTATTAGTAGTAGTATTGTGGTTAGTATTAGTGATAGTAGTAGTAGTAGTACTAGCAGCAGTAGCAGTAGTAGTAGTAGTAGTAGTAGTAGTAGTAGGAGTAGTAGTAGTATTGTGAGTAGCAGTAGTAGTGTGAGTAGTAGTAGTAGTAGTAGTAGTAGTAGTAGTGTGGGTAGTAGTAGTAGTAGTAGTAGTGTGAGTAGTAGTAGTAGTAGTGTGAGTAGTAGTAGTAGTAGTGTGGGTAGTAGTATTAGTAGTGTGAGTAGTAGTAGTATTAGCAGTAGTGTGAGTAGTAGTAGCAGTGTGAGTAGTAGTAGTAGTGTGAGTAGTAGTAGTAGTAGTAGTAGTGTGGGTAGTAGTATTAGTGGTGTGAGTAGTAGTAGTAGTAGCAGTAGTATGAGTAGTAATACTAGTGTGAGTAGTAGTAGTAGTAACAGTAGTAGTAGTAGTAGTGTGGGTAGTAGTAGTAGTACTAGTGTGAGTAGTAGTAGTAGTAGTGTGAGTAGTAGTAGTAGTGGGTAATAGTAGTAGTAGTAG